AAAGCATTTTGGAATGTCGTGGCTACTCCCGGTCATGGGAGAGACCGGAACGTCCTTGTCCACCGGCGGAGTTTGCACCGACATAACTAAATTTCTTGTCTCCTTTTAACTTCGACTGAAACGGTTCCGGACGTCTGCCCAGGGACAGCCTGATGAGAGCCGGAGATACCTCGCCGTGCAATGCGAAACTCCCTTCTCTTTGTCTTGCGTTGTTGCCCGATGTTCCGAACTTGCGTGCCATGTTCGTTGTTCGTTGTTCGTTGTTCGCAGGTAAATAAATGTCGTTGAGGCCTTTACTGCTCCCCGAGTTCCGCGCATAGCGATCTACAGCTCCGATCTTTACGCCTATAATCTGCTAAATCCTGCGACCACGGACGGGGTGGATTGTGAGACGATCTGAGAAGAATCGAGATAAATATTCAAGAAAATACGACTACTTTCGATACATACTCTGTTTTGAACAGATGAATCGCTACTATTAGGTTAATCCCACGGACATAAAATATAATGACCGGACATAGCAGAACCTGAAGTGAAGCCATGCCCGCGTTGTATAGAGTTTATAGTATATGGCTAAACGCGCATCTCTGCTCAGTGTACCATATATGTTAAAGGACAAATCTACAATTTACATGCAACACTTTATTAATATACAAGAGAGACATATAAAAGTACATGTGAAACTCTGACACCATGATTCGAAGAAGAATTACGAAGAATTCTTCATTTACGAAGAAGTAAATCGGAAGGAAAAGATAGAAACAAAACAGACGCGATAACAGCGTGCTACGCAGAAACCTACAAGGTGCGAATTGCAAATTTCATGTTTTAGTTAGTTAGTTATGCGAACAGTTTTTAAACAGAACGTCATAGATACATTCTAACCGTTGGTAGATTACAGAAAGTAACAAACTATAACAAGAAATTAGATATTTAAATTATTGAAACTCTAAAAATTTATTTTCAAACGTGTAACCATATTTTCAATTGTAGTCCTATTTAAACCTCCCGCTGTGCATATTTCTGTGTCTAAGAAAAATCGCTATTCGGCTTAGCGGTATGCTATTCGGCTTGACTCCGTGACCTTAAATAACCGTGACTAATTATGGTCGTTGAATTTCTAATGGGAGAGACCATCATTGTAGGTGTTTGAAAAAGGGTGGTTCCATTGAAAAAAAATAAAGGTGACATTGATATCTTAAAAAAAAAATGACAAAAACAAAAATGTTTTTGGCATCGTATGAGCCCCATTGAACCATTCAACTTTGTTCTTATGATATTTGATGTATCTTTAAAAACAACAAAGATGTTTGAGGTGGTAACGTTATGGACTCATCCTTTACACATATAAGAAATAAAATATTGTATATGTTATGAAACAAAGCTTACTCGTAATTTCCCAAAAATTGACTCGTTAAAGGGTTAGGGACTATAACCTAGTCGACACTCGCAAACTTTGGAAACCATTTTTGCGAGATGGACTCTCCAAGTGCATCGCGCAAGAAAGGGATTCCTCCTGCCTCGTCAATGTCCCTTCGCTCATTTTCACTGGCTTACATACTGTGCCCACGCCCTCGCCCTCCCACAACCCTTTGAAACGCGGTAATATTCGTCGAACATGCGACCCACCCCTGAAGTCGTCCTTGCACTGACCCTGTTTTATCTCTACCCCCTTTCATCAATTTTCCTTCTCTCATTTCGCTTTATCGCTTCCGTAGGTGTTTATTGCTGTTTGCGGCTGTTGCGTCGCAACGGGATACTCCCAGAGTTAACTGTAGGGACTCGCGCTTTAGAAATTTCGTTTACCACCAAGTAAAGAGCCCTTTCACAATATTTATTTTTTCCCCACGATGCTTCTAAATCGATAAAATAAAAAAAACGCAACCGTTCGGTGGTACTTGCTAGTATCCTACATAAAAGAGAAATTCGAGAGTTACATAATAGTACATAAAACGTAAAACTTAAATACTTTTATTTATTTCTAACGTTCGTTGGAAAACGGCATACAATGAAGGAAGAAAAGAATTTTTGATTCGTCCTAGCGTAACGTGTTTGTCTCCTGTTTCTTTGAGTTTTGGATTGGAGCAGTTACGGGCGATGTTCCATTTAATCATTGTTGCTTATTGAATAGGAGATTGTAAGTAGATTCATCGATTAATTGCGTGCAAAGTTGCTATCAAAATTGTTTTGTACTTATTGCTCCTATGCTTCTTCGGGTGGAACATAATCCATGTAAAATATATGAATTGATTATAGAATAGTCTGATCCCTCGACAAACGATTTCCTTTACCACTTTGGCGTTTCTTGAGGAAAACAAATTTCCATGAATTCCTTTGTCCAGGCTGCTCCGCCATAGAGTTGAAGTTATCTGCCGTTAAACCATCGGTAAAACTCAGTTAGCTGCGGTTCTACTTTGAACTTGATTACTAGTTGCGTTTCTTAACCAAGTTTCTCTTTTTTGGAAACTGAACAACCGTTTGAAAAGGAATTAATATTTAAACTATCCCGAAAATAGACAAGTGTTTAATGTATCTGTTGGTTTATGCGGATTGATTTAGGCAATATTTTTTTAAATAATCGATTGTACTTTATTTTAGTAAGTTTTCTATACAATCACGTGAAAGAACAGCACGTTAATTTTTCTCTCGTAAAGACACGTTTTTCTCTCTATGGCGTCCACGACATCACATTATTCTTATTTTGGCAAGTAGATCTTTATAAATGAGGTGCAGAAGCAAACGATTATGTTATGCTAAATTCGATTTCGTCGAAATTAAAATAAGTTTTTACGAATATTGGCGAAGTTTTACCCTTAACCCCTTTCAATCCGACTTTTTTCTGTTTGTATTTTGTTCATTTTGCTTTTAGAAATTGACTGTATTAAACTAGTGTTGACTATACGTATATCATAGACATAAGAAGAAACTATTTTCATTTTTTTTCACAAAAGTTCCTATAAGTCTTATTTGTAATTTGGCCAAAGGCAATCAAAAATATTCACTGGGTACTATATATCTCACTAAGGTGGAAAGGGTTAACCCTCTATGACCTCGTATAACTTTCACGTCACTTGCTAATATATCAGCATCAAATAATTATACACAAATAATTGTACTTCCTTCACAAGATGACGTACACATCTTAATTATAATATGTCTCTGATAACCAATAACAATATTGACGACTGTTGTCAGCACCTTCAACCTAAACCATGAAAACAAATACCTTGCAAGTTTTCCGGAGAAAGAAAAGAACTCAACCAACAAAGGGTTAAAGGACGAATTTTGTCTCGAAAACATGGAAGACTAGATAATTCAACATCTGTCGTAGTATTTCATTTTTCAACCTCGTCAAATCACGAATCCTATCCAGATTTATTTCCTGTTTCTCAACGAAAAGTCGCGTCACCATTTCTGGATGAGATGGTGATGATCGCCGTCCTAACAGAACTATTTCTAGTCTAACTTTTGTTGCAATTATAAACTTATCGCGAAGGGTACAGAAAACTCTTTCCAAATCAGAAATCACGTACGTTACAAATTGACTTTATTTCCCTCGATTCTAATTCTTACTCTTGTTCTTATTCTTATTCTGCTCGGCATTTCGCTTGTTTATATACACACTTTCTCCCTCTCTCTCTCGTCCGCACTCGTCTCATTCGCTCGAACAGTCTACGCTTTATTAAATAAAAATTTGGTAAATCGCTGTAAAAGCGAGTCGTTTGTAAAGAGTAAGCTTACTGAATCCTTCCTAATCGGGTTACCAACCGATTACTAATTTCGAGATTTCCGAGGTGTGTGCACGGTGTGCACCGAGAGAACGGTAAAAGAAGGTAAAGGTGGCGTTCGCCGAGATTAGAAGATCGCTCGGAACGCGAGAGGATGCAGTTTCCGGTGGTTGTCGGGGGTGCGTTCCCGCGAAAGGGATCCGGTCGGTATTGCGGTCGTCGACGAGGAGAAAGGGGCTTCTCCGGGGGCTTAACGTACACACTCCACCCCCGGTGGGCGGAGTGTACCGCCTACGAGGAACCCCCACCGTCGACCGCGGTACTGATACGCGATATCAGGGAACACTTGTTGCTCCGGCGTGTAGAGATTCTGTCCCAACCGCGCCAACGAGCGCTCCAACGCCGCGCTCCTGCCACGATTTTTCACGTGCTGATTTTTCCACCTCCCACGCGCCACCTCCCCACCCTCCCGCGGCATGGGCATCCCGCTCGATCGTGGCCGGCCGACTTCCGCCCCGGTGGACTTTCGCGCGCCCCTATCGGTTGCCTGTCGCCGACAACGATATTCCAGGTTCGAAAACGAGCAGCCCGTGGATTCCGTCACACGGCCCGCGCCTCCGAGTCGGAGAAATGGAGGTGCAACGCTGTAAATCTTCCATGTTTACCGAATCGCACGGCCCCTCATGATACGGTTACGCGTGTCGTTCGTGCACCTACTCTGACGCTTTCTCCGATTACTCATTTTTCCTATTCTCTTCACCTTACCTTTCCTTTGCTTTTTATTTATATCGTATTCGTATTGTAGAGTGCGAGAACGAGTTCGACGAATGCACGAACGACGAGAATCTGAGCCGTGAAAGAAGAGTGTTCGGATCGCGCGACAGTTTGAAGTGTGCCTGGAAGAAAGCGCATGGGATCGAGCGAATGTTTAGGTTTAGGGAGCTGGGCGCCAGTTTGCGAATGAATGATAAGAGTGTGTGTTGTCTGTGTGTAAGGGTAAAAGGAGGACGTGCATGGAAGAATGCAAGAGTTTAGTTTTTAATCAAAAGCGTCAAGATTAGCGTAAGAGTCGGAAAGTGAAACTGAGTATGCGACCAACAACGAAGGCGTAATTTCAGTTCACATCCGTACAGATAGTAGTTTAACTGTAATCCTGCATCACCATTGTAGTGCGATACTAACATTTATCGCCGTTATCGAATAAAATCCTACAGTATCGGTTGTGTTGTCACCGGCTATGTTAACTAATTGTCCCATGTTTGATTGTTACAGGCAGTGCGGTGGCTGCAGCCGACACCATTTCCGCGCCGTGGACTCCCGCGAGTTCCGGGCCGCCGCCCGACGCGAACGGCTCCGGCTCGGATACCAAGAACCTCGACGTTGGCGAAATTAGCGATGTAAGTCGAACGTCTTTCTTTTATTTTCAATTCTGGGAAGAAATAGTTAACCCTTTCGACCCTAGTGGAACATACGCATTTTTGTTATAGTCGCGCGGCTCGCATTAGAATTGCACCACACGACAAAGAAAATCGAAGGAAAACATGAGTGACGAGAACGAGTGACAATTGGAATGCATTGGCACAACAGTGTTAATATTACAGCGATCGAACAACTACTTAACACTTTATTTACGGGGAGCCTATTTTTAGGCTTTTTAATTGCAGTATTTAGCTTTTTGAATTTATTTACTCTGTTGATGGTTGTCTACTTAGAATGTTCAGTGTTGGGAAACAGGTTTGGCTTTCAATGTACCCAGTAACGGTATTATTGGTAACAGGAATTATTGTCAGCCTAGATTGACATATGATACTTTAGAAAATTCTTGTTTGAATTAAAGTCTGTTTCTAAATAGCCCGGTAGATAAAGTGTTAAGGTAATACCTTAAAGGTAGTCGTTCAGTGGATTTATCGAATGTAGTATTTTAACAAAACTTCACTTGACCGCTCTTTGATTAAATATAAATCATACGAGCCTATTTCGATTTAAATTGACCACGGCAATTTTGTCAAAAACGATATCAAGATTTTGTAATTTTAACACGGACTTTTATGAAACATATAGATTTTCATGTAAATTTGTTCTATTTAAACGAAAATGCTAAACTTGCTGAAAATTTGATATGTTTTGAAAAACCGAAATTGTACACTGTTACGTCGATGCTTGTATTTCCCGAAAATTCTATTCTGACAAAATTATAAGATTTGTTCTAAAGTTTTTACAAAAACAAGAAGAAATGTTAAATCGATTCCGACAAAATGTGGAAGAAACGAGGAAATAAATACAGACGAGAATACGTTTCTCCGTAAAAGGAAGCATTTCTCACGACGCGGTGTTGCAAATTCTAGTGGGTTTTTCAGGATCGACCGGGTCCTCGGGTTCTGGATTACACGCCATCCAATAATACATATATATCGACGAAGCAAACGTGATCGGACTTCTCAGAAAAGACTTTCCCTTCCCCAGTCGATCGTTTCACCTTCTACCTTTCGACACTTGATCTAACGCGCCAAGTAATCGGCCGTTTCTCGTCCGTTCGTGCAACACAGGCGTCCCCGATTCGTTGAAATTCCAACTTCGACCTTATCTTCGGTCCAACGTCAGTGCACGCCAACACATACTAACAATAAAAAGGCGCATGCTACGCGAGGCACAAACAAACTGAAATTGGCAGAGAATCTTTCGAATTGGCAAAAAGAAATCGACGGTGGACCGACTCACAATCAGCTGCGTTCCAGACATGGTTTTACTCTTCTGGAGTATCCGTCCATGGAATCGTATATCTTCTGGAGAATTTTAGAGACAGACCCTTTACGAATTACAACGTTTGCGATAAATCATTTATAATTGATCTGCTTTCGCGGGTTCGACGGAACATTTTCTGACTTCTTATAAATGCATAAAAATCTCCAATCTATACATGATATTGTCTGTGTAAAACGTTACGTGTCCTTTTAAATGCTTGACGTCACCGTTTGAGCGGTGACATGCGTTTCTCGCCAAATGTCCAGATAATCGATCTTAATATTTAGAAAAATAATACAGCAGTCGATTTTACACTGTTACGAAACGAACTTACATAAAAATGCAGAACATAATATTAAAATCTCTTGTATTTTAAACTACAAAAATACATAAAATATTTATATTAATAATATTTCAAGCTTTCGTTTTCTAAACTACAGAAATGCATGAAACATTAATATTATTGATATCAAAAGCTGTCGATTTCTAAACCAAAAAAATACATAAAATATTGATATTAATAGTATTAAAAGCTGCCGATTTCTAAGCCACAGAAATACATAGAACATTAATAATATTAAAAGCTGCCGATTTTTAAACCACAAAAATACATACAAATATTAATATTACTAATACTTGCACCACATTATCATACATTGATCGGCATATAAAATCATTGGATACTTGCTGCAAGAATCCCTATCGTAGTGGAGTGTCGGTTGATGGATAGAGACGAATTTTGAAGTAATTCGTCGGGTGATTTGGATGGTACACCGAGATTGAGAACCGAGGAAAAATGGGCGCGTTATTTACGACACGCGACGGTTGAAATATTCTTGCCGAGAGGGATCGAATTATCGATGAATCGTTGCGTTCCTATTTTTCAGGACGAGAAGGACTTATCGGCAGCAGACGCGGAGGGTGTATGGTCGCCGGATATCGAGCAGAGTTTCCAGGAAGCTCTCACTATATATCCGCCATGCGGCCGACGCAAAATCATCCTGTCCGACGAAGGGAAGATGTACGGTGAGTAGAGCAATTTCCTGCCAAATCTCTCTTCGACGTTTTCACTGAAAAAAGATCCACACGTGTGGACGTGTGTACGTGTGTTGTAATATAAAAGTAAATCGGAGTGAGTGTGTAAGGCAGACTTGTCGAGGGAGTTTATGCTCGTAACTGGACTTATTTTTTCCGGAATTTAAAAGCTCGAGTAAGGTTCGTGGAATTTCAGGTCTCGAGATACTTTCTTTTGCGATACATACTTTATATTCGCGTGTACCTACTGAAAAATGATTAAAAGTGAAAATGGTAAGCGTTGGATTTTTGGCCAAAATGTGAAAAAATTGTAACTCTTGATTGAGTAAATGGATTTCAATTATCGACACGGGAAACTGCGTGTCTTTAGATGAAGAATTTTTTAAAAGCATAAGGCTATTGGAAAAATCTATTTTTTAGTTCCTTTCGGATGAAAGATATGTGAAACATGCTGAATATAAAAAAATTCGTAGGTCTCTTAATAATGAACATTTTAGATTGAAACTTCCCTCCCCTAGAATGTACTTTACAAAATGAAATAGTCTTATGGTAATCGATTCATGCATTACAGAATTATGTGTGAACATACATAAGAAGAAAAAAGTTATTGAAATATGAACATCCTAATTCTGATACCATACGGCCCTGAACGAAAAGTCTAGCTCTGTCCTTGTCTAAAAACGTGTCAGATTACTAATTGCGGTCGACTTAAGTTGTAAAAATCGATGTCCGACCGACTTTACGACCTCACAAGATCCCTTCCAGCGACAGTACATACAAATGGGCGCTCTAGTAAATACATCCGTTCACCTGCCCGTATAATTTTGCTTCTTCGAGGTGATCCGATTTTAGGGTCACCGGAAGGTGGTCGAATAGTTGTTTACGTCGTGGCCTCGGAGAACAGCCTCGTTCGCGAATAACATCTTTGCGATGAAAAATATCCTTGCACGGAGGACCAACGGGGTCCTTACACTTCACGTATACGTGATGCGATGGGTAGAAACGTCGCGTCGAGGCAGGCATCGTTATTGCTCGATGCTGAGGTCAGTCTACGTGACCGACCAGATATTGCCTGCTACGACCACGGGTACCACCGTAGTCACCACCATTAACCGCCATGAGCTCACCACCGAGCCAATAATGCCACGCCTCGAAAGATATCCCCCTTCACTAGCATCTTTGTCCCAATATTGTTTGCCATTTTCTACCATCTCCTTCCGTTATCACTCGCCTCCTGTCTGTCCGTTCTTGCGAAAAATATTTTCGTTCCATCCTCTCTACTTTCCTCTTCCTATCAAAGAAAATCGCGAGAGAAGTAATATTTGTTCGTTGGGTCCGTTTGTTAGGTCCAAGCAAGACGGGTTATTAGCGTGGGACAGGTTCCGTGTTTGAAAGCACACAGAGTACAACTATTGTAAACGAGTAGTTTCATTAGAATAATGTTAATACAATGCGAACAGAGTTTATTTCGCGAGAGATGAAAAAACGTGGATAGACGCTCACGACACAAGTACCACGTAACTCGTTCTTCAGATCGTTAGATAGCGTCAGAAGGCCGTTAAGGTGTGTATCGTCCCCCGAGTGCGTGTCCCCAGAGCTAATAAATAGTTGGTATCTTTGCCTGCGTACTTGAACTATATCTATCTACCCTGAATCGCAAACTTTACCACGAAACTTCCAGTTCAGTTTAACCCTTAGACGCTTGAGCTCTTTTTCTGGTATCTACTAGCAACTCGAGATGCTTTTTTAGCATTCTATTGCCACGAATGCTAAGTTTAGATTGACTTCGAAGATGTATTCCTTCACTGATCATGTGCGTGCAAATGAAACTTGTGGAATATAGTACTTAAAGAATGCTTATAATACTTAAGTAATTGTCAACAAATATTTTATACATATATTCAAATAAATATTGTAATTTTATTAAAGTATTTCCTTGGAAAATATGGAAGATATCAGCTGCCACCCATCGGAGGTCACCATCAGATATAACTACTTGCGTACATTCTGGAGGCTACAGTTTTCATCTGCAATCAATAGGGATTTAAATTTACTTTAAAGACATGTCTATCTTCTATAAGAACTTAAATTCTTCCTTAAAAAATTGCAAATTGCATTTTTAGAGATGTTTAAACTAACGATCAAAATGTTTTTGTCACCTTTTTATGACTTTGTTTGCGATAAAAAGATAATTTAAACAATAATATTATTCCAAATATCGGTTCATATAGAACGCAATTACATAATGAATCTGTCCATTTTTAAAATGATTGGTTAACAACTTTTTGTGCTAGAGTGTACACAAATTTAAAAAAAAAAGTCATTTACCGAAAACAAGAGTTTTCAAGTTCAAGAAAATAATGATTTTATTTTAACTATTTACTGAGTAATCAGTGATTACAACACTATATAGCAATCCTTCTTCTTCTTTGTATGCTTCGTTTTGAGTTCTTCTCTCTTCTGTTTGGGTTCTTCAAGCCTAAACCTATTTCCTCCCTTAAGAAAGAGTGAATAAAATATTGAAAGCGACAACAAAAACTTCTTTCCCTATTTCTCTCTAAACTTCTGAGAAGACAACACAAAATTACATAATTAATTTAAAGTATCCTATAATAGAATATAAAAGGAGTATTTCATAGTCCCCAAGTTTTCATAAACCACCTGAATAAAATGAAGTAACTGCGTCGAAACCGTTCTGTTACGCTAGAAAAAGCAAACGAACGGATCACCCTAGTAACATGAAAACTCCGGCGCGAAAGGAAAAGATTTTCGAACGTTTGATGGCTGGCTAACAAATTCGTGACAGGAAGAGAACAGGGCCGCCTTTTCCCCCGTCCACAATTGCAACCCTTCTTGGTTCTTGGATTTCACACGTTTTTCGAGCAGATGCACGCTTGAATCCCATTCGTTAAGGCACAATGTCCCTTAATTTTCGAACGCGCCTCGCAGGAAAAGCCGACGGGTGGCAATTCAATCTTGGCCCGCGGCCGCTATATGAAAACGAAGCTTAATTCGGGACCGCCTCGCCGACAGCGAGCACGCAAATGAAAACAAGGAGGACGACAATCGACAAAGCTGCGCGACTCCCTTCGACCCCTTCGCTTCTCGCTGCGAATTACAGAGAAATTAACTTCATGAGCGGGGTTTGATTCGCGATATCTCTCGCTCACGATAGTCACGCGAATGAAGAATCGACTACGAAACGTAATAATGCTCCTAGGACACAATCAGACCATTGTGAATCGTCCTGCGACGCTCGCTGCGCGTACATCGCTAACTACGAATCCGTTAATCTCTAATATTTCGAACGTTAAATGAAATAAGTTCTTATATAAGAAATTTCACCTGCTTAGTTATTCAGATTTGTTCATTTATGGACGAATATTGCATTAGTTGTGATTTATGAAATTATCATAATGTTATATATTAGGACAACCTAATATATAACATTAATAATAACAATGGTAAGATAAAAAAATGGTTTTAAGAAAATCTCATTTAATGTTTCAAGTAAAATTATTGTGTGGAATAGTAATAATTAGACTACGGATCTTTATGCAAAATGAAATCTTCGCGAACGTGCCTACAAAAATTGAATCTAAATAGGAATTTATTTTATTCTGCAAATATTACAACATGAACATTACTTTCATTCTTTTTTATATTCTTACACATTGTTTGGATTTTGTAGTTTCTTGCACATTCAGATTTCCTATAAATGCATAAAGATCCGCAGTCTAGTAATAATATACATCTTCCAAGTAGTATTCAACACGATGTAAATGAAACTTGTACTGCAAAGTACTGGAACGTAGTCGTGTTTATTAATTAACGCGATCCTTTGGCGAATAATTCCGTTCTCGGTTGAAAGAAAGTGGGATCGGCGACGGATGAAAACGAGATGCAATGGAAGATTGATCTGAACGTCTGAGGGACAAGAGAGCATCGGCGTCAGCGTCCGTACACCGGATGGAAACAAAGGATAACGAGGCGCGAAAATCGCTTAACGCGATTGGCCATCGATCCTATGGGAAACTTATCTTGCCCGTTGCTCACTCGCCGAGCCAATAAAGGATCCCTCGGCCTTTCCACGGGATTAAATATCTCGGGGCAATTTACCTCCTTCGATCTCCTCCTACGTCACCCTTCCGCACTTCTCGTCACGTCTCCTCTTCTCTCCTCTCTTCTCCTCTCCTCTCCTCTCTTCTCCTCTCCTCTCCTCTCCTCTCCTCTCCTCTCCTCTCCTCTCTTCTCGTCTCTTCTCTGCTCTTCTTTTTCCATCAGAACGTCGACGCCCACGCCGAGATTTCTCCGCGAAAGACCGATCGTTTCCGCAGCGAGAGAACGTAAAAGAGAAGCCGTTCGAAAAACGAGAATCCCTTTTCGCTTCTCGAAATGTTATCACGGGTTCTTCGACTCTTTTATTGTTTCTTGCCTCCCTCTTCCTCCATCTCGGGCTCTTTTCATTTAACCTTTTTCTTCTCCCTTTGGTTTAACTCCGCGCACTTGGATGTCCCCTCCCAAGGGACATCATAACTCTGGCAAACTTTGTTCTCAATTATACAGGATGAACTTGCGCGAGCGCAAATTGTTCAAAACTGTGCGTTTCCTTCGAGTCTTTCATTCAATTGACGCGGAAAAAGTAAATCGAAAAACGGCGTACACTGGGTGATTCTGGAAACTAGGACAAATTGTAACTCTTTTCTGAGCGGAGTTAAAAGTGAGCTATAAATTGTGTCATACGCGGTTGACTGAAAAGTCAATTTTGTAAAGCTGGTTTTGTAGCGAATGAATTTTTGTAATAAAGATATCGATATTTCCTTGGCGATTGTTGTTGTAGGAATGTATAATTTCAGGCGGAACTTGTGCAAAAGTTTTTGGAAACTTTACTTTTCGAAAGGAAATTCGAAATGTTTCTTTTCTTTCGTATAAAAATAGAGCTTCTCTGCTTATGTTGTTGCTATCGTTAGTATTTAGTTCTACATCCCGAT